AATTAATTTTAAATTATATTCTGTTTATGACATTGTGCTGCAACCTGAGACTTGAACAATGTTTTTATATTTCATCTTAGCTGCTGCCAAGTTCTCTTCTCCCCCACCAGACTGCACCTAAATGAAATAAATTCATTGGCTACCATTCAGTTTTCCTGTAATATTATTGTGATTGCAAAGGACGACATTTAAACTTACGCATTGACCTGAGCAGTAATGTTCTCCATGACGTATCCCTCTGTTTTGCAGCTGCAGCGGTGTTGCACTTCTTTTTAAATACGCGTTCAAACTTGCCATATGAGCGCATTAAGATTTCCAATTGTAGTGGGTGAAAAACGCAGCCCTCTGCTTTCTCGTTACCATGGTGACTCGTCAACTCGGGGCTCCATTGATGGTGGCTTTTTATAGTTGTGGTGCACGCGCTTAACTCCAGGTGAATCTACTCTAAGTTGATTAAAGTAACTCAAATCCACTGTTCTGGAACCAGAGACTCAGAGTTTCCTATTTCAGAGTCGAGCAACTCAAAGTTCAGGATTAGACTTAGAGTTTGTTGAACCTGCTTCGTGAAACGGACCCCTGCTCATAGCTTCTCCACATGCATGTTAGGAATGGAGACATCCTTTTCAGATAGCATTGTGAGATTGATTTTCAGGTCACAAGTAGGAGGAGAAGGAGTCTCAAAATAGAGAAACAAGATGAGCCTGGTGTATCCATGTCCACACCAGATGATATCTGGAGACTACCTGCAGTATTAATATGTGAAGTAATGCTTGGGTAAATATTTAATTTGAAATGGGTTTGCCAGGAAAGCTGCAGTCACCTGCAGATGATACTGCAACAGGTACTTGCAATACATTACTTATTATGTATCATACCAACCAAAGCACTCCCAGCTGCAATGCTTTTTCACCTGGCAAAAATTGCTTGGGCAGACAAAGCCGAAAACTGCTCTTTCCACCAACAAATTTTTCCCTTTTGCTAAACCTTCTGGGTCATGTGACTCACAATAAAAACTGTTCAGAAGCAGAAAAAACATCATCCATATAACAAGAGCAACATATTAGGTTTAACAAATTACTCAAATACTTTAAGCTCAGTGTATTATAACTGTCAAAAGATGAAAAACACAGTCAAGAACCTTTTAATTTAGAGGACCTTGATAAGTAAGTGTCTCGAATAAAGTGCTCAGTGAATTTCCTGTTTAAAGGTCCCATTTTGTAAACATACATTTTTACTGTGTTTTGAGGTGTAAAGTATAAGGTATTAAGACATGAAGACATTTTGCTCCACAAAATCTAAACCCAACCACATATAATAGGAGGTTATCAACTTTTTTTTTTAACATTCACCACATTACACACAAAACTGACCAGTCATTTGCAGCCTATTTCAGTCCATCCATCCATCCATTATCGATACACATCTTAATCCTCATTAGGGTCGCGGGGGGGGGGGGCTGGAGTCTATCCCAGCCAACTTGGGGCAAAGCCAGGGGACACCCTGGACAGGTCGCCAGTCTATCACAGGGCTACACTTAGAGACAGACAACCAAGCACACTCACATTCACGCCTACAGACAATTTAGAATCACCAAATAACCTCAACATGTGGGAGGAAGCCGGAGAACCCGGAGAGAACGCAGCACGGGGAGAACATGCAAACTCCACGCAGAAAGATCCCGGTCCCACTGGGACTCGAACCGGCGACCTTCTAGCTGGGCAACAGTGCTACCAACTGTGCCACCTTGCAGCTATTTCAGTCCAGCGAAACATATATTTGTTTAACTGATCAATGCAGACGGTATAATGTAACAGCTCTGAAACTTACAACTACATACATTCAAACATAATGAGAAGTGCACTTGGGTCTGACACATATTGAAGGTCATCACTGCAGTATTTGACCATATCAAAATAAAATGAATGTTATTGACTGAATATTTCTGTGATAACAGTCTAATCCATTTCCTATTTTGTGTTCCATTAGCTGCAGTACCAGCAGTGTAAAACTGNGGACGTAGTGATATTGCAGGTTTTTGACACTTCCGGGTTGGCTTCATTTTTCAGGGCCGGTTGCTACGTCCATCTTTTATACAGTCTATGGTTCATTTAGTGCAGAAGAAGAGTCACGTGAAGCGCCCCTTTTTATGTGAAAGCGCACAGAGTCTGAAGCAAAAAGCCTGAGTTGAAAAAGTTGATAACCACCTTTGTGATACCCATAATCTCTGGCTGGGGCTTTTGGTTTTGTCGATTCGGCTTACACGAAGAAGCCTGGCTATGTCAAACTTGCTTCGTAGTATACCCCTCTGGGGTCCGTTTCACGAAGCAGGTTTAGTGAAAACTCTGAGTCTGTTAACCCTGAAATGAGGGAAACTCTGAGTTTTCCATTTCACAAAGGGAGGTATCTCAAACCAGAAGAAGAGGGGTAACTCTAGTCTGTTTCACAGAGAGAGGTAACTTAAGACCTCGGTCAGTTACCGTAGTAACAGACTCTATGAACCTAACCTGGTCGGGACAGGTTTTTCTCAATAAACCTCGAGTTTCTCTCTGTCTCCGCCCTCTTTCATCCACACACACTATGTGATTTCCTCATTCATTCATTCAGTCAGCAGGCGAGTTTTGGCGTAGCCTAGTTCTGCCTTCTGTCAAAAATTTGTACTATAACGTATTTATTTTTTCATTTAGACTCACCATTTTGATGGTTTTTTAAATTAAAAAATCGCTGAATTTTTGCAGTTTCCCATTCAAATGCTTGGAAGAGAAGCCGGTGAGGCAGAAGTGGCTGAGCCTCATCTGGGATTGCGCAATCCCTCGGTACCTGTGCTGGCTGCCATGCAGTGACAACGTGCTGCTGTCTGGATGTTGTCAGTAAAATGGTTCCAACACATTTAATATATGAACTGATTTTCCATAGTTCAGATGATGTATATAATAATTTACAGTGTTTTTTTGCTACCAACTGTATGTGTGTAATGTGTTTCTTGTGCTGAGCGATCATAAAGCAGCTGAGAAGCGGTTCCAGGTGAGGCAGGCAGTTCTCCGGCCTCATGGCAGCGGGCGCCCTGATCCCAGGCATTCTTCTTGTGACTCGGCGGCTGCTGAGTGAGTGACAACAACTTAGCAGCTTACAAAAAAGTAATACATATTTTTGTCCAGAAGCTGTGCATGGACTTCATTTATAGGTAAAGGTGAGACTGCAATAATGAATGAATGAAATGAAATTAATGAAAAATACTTTATTTATCCCAGAAGGGAAATTCAATAAATTTATAATAATAATAATAA